AGGAAGGAAATGGAGCTGACAGAACATCTGTCATGAGCCATAGTTTGTGCGCTGCGATAAATGTGTGGAGTAAATACCATTAGTCAATTTTCTCTCCTCTGGAAGTCTGCTTTTATTGCGTTTAAATCAGACTTTTCAGATTATCAGCAATCTCCACCCATCCTGCCCTTTAGCTGACAAGCCATGCTTTCTCCTCTCAAAGGCCAAACAGTCCTTTACCCACTTTCACTGAAGCTAAAAAAAAAGGGTGTTTCTTTATGGTACAGGAGGCCAGTCCAAGTCCTTCCGCACATGTGTTTTTTCTGCAGGGTTTGCTCGCAGGTTTGTGGCCTCCTCCCTGCAAAACAAGCTGTTCCCTCAGACTTTTAACATCATTTGCAAGTATTTCATGTCATGTGGCGGATAGAAAGAGAAACACCCATTTTTTTCCCCACAGCACGTGAGGGAGCACATTAGTAATTTACCACAAAACTTCTTACACCGCTCAACTTTAAGACTCGGATGTGCTTTAGGCCAGTTCAGCTTGGATTTAAGACCTTATTCCTCTTTCTGTGTAGCCAAAATTGAGAGGCCTCTGCCCCCCAGATCTGGAAAAGATGAAAGAATGTTAAAAAAGATAGAGGAGGGACTTTTTTAGGTAAACATTTTTTTTTAATCTGATATGGAATAGAGTTTATGTGAGATAAACCTGTTTTGAGAAAAAAAAAACCTGCACACAAGTTCAGCAGTTATAGGGGAGTTTTTCTGGATGAAGCCTCACAAACCCAGCCCAGATCTCACAAGCTCAGTTTTCACTACAAGCTATTAGTCTAGCAAGTGATTTAGAGGTTGATGACAATTACCAGCACTGCAATTTAAATTTAGACTGAATGTTTACCTCTTAACTCTCTGATGTTGGTGTAACAACTACCTAATCAAGGCACTATTATAAATGTAAGCACAGCACTGTGAGTTTATGAAATGTATTTATTTATTGACAGATTTCTGTTAAAATGTGACATTTCCATGGCAGCCACCGTTATTTTCCAGTCTTAAAACTTAATGTAAAGCCTGTGGACAGCCCACCAGGTTCAGGTGTTTTCAGTCATCTTTGTGTAGTTTCTGGCATTTTGGTCTGTACCAAATGATGACATCCAAGCAATGCCTATTGAGTCTTGCCACATCACAAGGTTACATTTGTGAGCTGGTTGTGCAACGGTACATTGCTGCTGTTGATGGTAAAATTTTAGTTTTGCTCTCAATTTTTGATCGGTCACTTCCTGTTTACTGCGAACAATAAGTAAACAATCTGACACCTGAAATTATTTTGGGCAAAATGGATCAGTTCTCCCAGATGGACGCTTTTGGAAATGTTTTTTTTTCTGCTGCAGCCTTTGTTTGAGTTTATTTCTGCGTGCTGCATTTTGCCTAAAGCACCTGTAAACAAATGTTAAAGTCTGTAAAGTAATTTAAACTGCCCCGGCTTTTATGACATCACATTTTAGTTTAAATTTAGAGTTTAAATTCTGCTGTGTGTTTTTAGTTTCAGGAAAGAGCTGTTCATGTTTGCAAACATTAACTTACATCAACTGCCCCAAGCAAGCCTTAAGGGAAGATTAACGCATGGAAATTGTTCAGTTTTGTGTTTTCTGTGTTGGAACAACAAGTTAAGTAGACAAACTGGACATTTTTGCACCCGTGTGTGTGTGTGAGTGTGCATGCACCTGATGATTTGTACTGTATGTGTGTGTTGGGTTGTGGAGCGTTGGGAGCGGGGGTTTACCTTTGATGGAAAAACAACACCACAGCTAGAGTAGGGAGTTTTCGGGATTGCTTTGCCAACCATATGGTGTGCACATTTATTATGTAATCCATAGTAAAGTTAAGAGACCAATAACACAGGAACCCAGTCTGTACCAGCCAGACATTTGCTAATGAGTCCGTTTTTCCCCTTTTGCTTTACAAAAGTGTGTCATTTAAATAGTGTTATACCTACTACATGCACTACAGTCATTGTCAGCAGCATCACAGCAAAAAAAAGACAGTTCTGTAGCATCCTTTGAAGCTTTGTGTGATTATGACACAGGGTGAAAGCATCCACTGGTATTATGTGACAGATGCAGTCTGAGCTGTTTGCTGGGGCTGTATGTTGAGCTGTATGTGTTTCAGTGCAGGATGAATGGTTCACTCTGTCTTCATAAAACAGACACCAAACTGACCGTGAAACTCGGTTGAATGTAAAGCATCAGCATTAAGAAGAGCCTACAAAACTTTAGCCCGTTCTGTAAGTCACGCTGTCGTTATGGTTGGTTCCCTGGTCACTGCACAGAGAAGTGTGTATAAAACGTATACATGTTCCCTGATTTGACATTTTATACTGTTCAGTCCTGGGTTTAAAGGGCTTCTTAGCCATGAAAAGAGTAGCTGGATGAAGAGCACATGGTCATGATAGGAAAAACCACCAGCGTCACATGTGACTTTAAAAACTTAGATTCCACCGATGCTTACTGTTGTGGTTTTTATAACATCCAGCAAACCACATCAGTTTTCTCTAATATTGTTTCTTTAGCTTTTTTTTTTTAAACCTTCTGTTCATATATTTTCACTCTGTCATCTTTTGAAACCGCTTTACATTGCCAAAAATGTTGTAGTTGCAAAATCGGTTGGAAAACAGAAGCAAAGAGCAGGAAGTGCATATAGTTTTTGCAGAATGTGCAATATAAACAATGGACATTTCAAAAAATGTTTTGTGGTTGACAGAATTGAATATAAAGACAACTGTTTATAGGTGAAATGAAAACTAACTTTAATCTGGTTCTGCAATGTTGCGTACCCTGAGGGCAATGACAGTATCAGCTGGAACATTTTCAGCAGCCTAGTACAAACAGAACATATATTTGCTTAAAAGAAATAAGCAGCTCATTGTTTTTGGAAAGTGCAGTGTGCGCAGACTTTCTGCCCGGATCATTTCAATTCTCTGCAGAAGATGTGTGTAAGTGCCTCAAGTTAAACTAAAATATCATATTGGTTGTGTTGTCATGTGGAAATGTTTTCCTTTGGTTTGTTGCTTTTATTTACATCTCCATGCTTCTCTTTTAAAGTAATTGTGTGGAGACTTGGCGCGCTGGAAGAAATTTGCACCTTTACGACCAATCAAATGGTTCATAAAGCCTCATAGTTCCATAGTTGATTTAGCTGCTTTTTATTTTCACAGTGGTTGTTGTTCTTTTCTTAAATACTGCTGCCATTATAGGCCCTCAAACTATACTATGAAGTGTGTTTCTCTCTGAGTCCTGCTATCAGGGATGAGGTCCTGCCCCTCTCAGCTTCAGTCTGGAGCAGTGCGTGGGGCAGAGAGATAGCCGGGGTGGGAACTACATAAAAGATAGCGAGGAGGACACAGTGATCTGTTAAAGAAAAACACACATGCATTTGGCTTTAAAGGAACTTCATGTTCATGTCATGAACGAAAACATGTAGACTGAGAGAATTCCATGATGGTGATTTCAGCTGTCCACAGTACGCAACCTCTGTCCAAGTTTAGGTGTACCAGACGAGTGTTTGAGATCTGAGACAGGTCAGAACCAACTTCAGGCGGCATTTTACTGCCATCAAAACTGACAGGGTCTGAACAGGCTAGAGAGGCGCCTTAGTCGTGCTTTAAGCTGTCTCAGACATCTGCAGTTGATAGTCAGTATAATGTCTACAAATGTGAGATACGTGCAGACTGGTTTTGAGAACAGTGAGCCAGGCAGAGGAAGTAGAGACTCCAAAAAAACAATATCATCATGACTTTATAACTTACTTCCAAATCTCCCTGCAGAACAGTTAACCCATACTGCCTGCACCTCCTCGACAACCCTCTTCTGAATTTGGCATCCAGCCATGCTCTTTATTTCCTTTTTTGGCAGAAAGGAGTGCAAACACAATAAGTGCTGCAAGCTGCTTGCACTTTGAAAGTGCCATTTTTTTCAAAGTCTTTGTTTTTTACTAAAGACAGCTGTTTTGATTTGTCACAACTAGATTAAGAAAATTACTGATTCCTTAATCTGTTTTAATAATCTACTATTACAATGGCAATGCAAGAAAAAAATGGAAGAAACATGGAGATTTTTAAGTTTGAAGGCAGGTGCACGCTGCAAGTTTGAGCATGTTAAAAACTCAACAATCTTTTGGAAGGATCGGGTATATGATAGATTGGGAAAAATGTAAAAATCTTTCAAGGGGAATCCAACCAAATCAGACCCGGTGCAGCCATTAAAAATAGTCAATTTTCTTGCTGCCATCAGTATTAAATTGAAACTGTTTCATAACCAATTTAAACTACTAGTAGGTTTAAAGTGAGTAAACTGTCCACCACACAATGCCACTCCATCGCCCACTGTGTGAAGACCTTCCAAACACGTCACTTCCTAT